TATATTTAAAATTGAGAAGGCAGAATATAACCTATTATTTATTAAATTCATATTTCCTCTTGATGACAGAGAGAAAATTAATACTGGTGAAATTCACTTAGAATCTGAACTCAGTAGAGAAATGCAACATTTCTTAATGGTTTGTAATATACTGGACCAGAAAACATATACAAGTCTATGAAATTATTTCCAATTTACACTCGCTCTAGACTTGTTAGAGCAACAAAAGATTTTTCCTCTTTTCATATTTAGGTATTTATTTGATTTTATAATAGCTGTAATATGGCCAGCATCTTATTTCTTTGTTTCAGACTAAATTAAATAACATTTCTTTTGAGATGCTCACACCAGCTTTGGATTTAAAATTGTCCCTCACTTTTAGCAAGGAAATACTGTTCTTATAGAAATTTGGTGTTATGCAGCAGAATCTGTGATGCAGACTAGAAAATCTATGCTTGCCAAAGGGGACTTTGAAGGGCCTTGCCTGTCTGAGTAAAGTTGGCTGTGGGGAACAGACCAGTGCCACTTCTACGTAGGCTAAGAGGCTCAGTAAAATTACCACTTGACTCTTACCTGTAAGTTGGCCCTATAACCACAGTTTCCATTACTGTGCGTAATAAGATGACATATCTAAGTGTCTGTAACTCTGTAGTCAGTTAAACATTGTGATAACAATAAAGAATTAAGAATAAAGTATGAAAGTCTTTGTTGAAAAACCTTTTTATGATTTTTTTTTTAATGCGTGCCTTCAGTGTTGGACACAGACTGTCTTTTATTTGCTCAAAGGAGTGACACTGAGGGCTGCAACAGTGACCTTGACTTGTAAAGAGTGCCCCTAAGGGTGGCAGGTGATTGAGTGAGAGAATAGTCCATTCTCCAAAGCCACTTGCGTTAAACTGTGGCCTCCCTTTTAAAATCTGCACCAAAAATGTCAATGAATTATAATTCCAGTTACAGTTGTGTTGAATTTTGTGTTGTGTTCACTAAAACCTGGACTGAAATCATCTAGCTGCTGTGACTAAGATACCAAAGATCTCAGAGTGCTACTGTAGGTTGGAAAAAAAGAAAAAAAAAAAGCAACTAAAGAAATCCTTTAATTTATTCCATCCAACAGATTAAATTGGGTAAGCCTCATTTTTCTCACTAATACAGAAATTACTTAAAAATATTACTCGCTTCCCTCTTTCCTAGTTTGGATCAAGCCCAACCTTGCTGAAACAATTGCATCGAGTCTAGAAAGCAGCACTATAAATTTAGCATTCACTATGTTGTGCCTATCCCTACCACACTACTACTAAGCGACATAACACTTCTTTCAGTGCCTTGATACTTTCTTTGTAGTACAGATGGTACCACATGTGCCGTGCAGTTCTGACAGCCCTCCGTGAAACAGTGTGGGATTGTATTAATACCTTATTCCTAGGTTTTAACAGAGATACTCAAACAAGTTGGATCTACTCAGTATTTCTGAATGATGTGTATAGGTTCACTTTACATCTGCCCTTCAGACTGCGGTTTAGTACTAAACGTACATACAAAATAGCACCATCCAAACACAAATGATCTGCATGCCCCAATTTAAATAAATATATAGTTACATTTCTATTTATTTATATTTTGTAGACTTAAACATATGCTGACTCTCACTTCTAGACTATAAAAATTCCAGGTTTTTGTTATCTCAAATGCAGCTGCATGACACCTGGCAAACAAATTATTTCTGAAGTTGGCCTCAGTTCAGGTAGAAAGGCACCTGTAAGTGGATCATGGATATTTGTGCACTTACAAATGGTATAGCTTATTTTAGAGTTAGTTCCAGTAATTAAAACCTGCATTGTTCAAGTCTGATTGCAACAAATCTTGAGAAGAAATCTGCAGAGTGCTCTGTGCTGCCATCCCATCCCTCTGTTCTTCAGCTCCCATAGCTAACCTAAGTATGACTTGTGCAACTTCCATCCTTTCCTTCAGGTTGTAGACAAGAAGCCAAGCAAGGAATCTTCCCTCCCAGATTCCTCTCCAGCATTGCCGTGTCTTCACAAAATTGAAAAATGGAAGTTAATCACTGGGTTGGGATACCCAGGAGATTGCTAAAGACAATGGTTTACCATACATTGTGTATTTATTAATTTCCATTTCCACTCACAATTAAAGGAGCTACAACTTGCCAATGCCATAGGAAACAGGCGAAAGAGTTCATTCAGGACGTTTTTCTCTGTGACTTACCCTCAAGTTCTTCATTTAATACAAAGGGGGTGAAAAAGGTATTTAAATGCTGCATTGTATGTACACCTTTGATTTGCTCTGCTCATATCAACCTGTCAATGAACTGAACTTCCCTTGAAGTATTTCAAGCAATGTGATGATCACCCACAGATAATACGGAGTGTCACCGAATGTGAGAGAATATGATTATCTCTAAGCCAGCAGCAGTTCAGTTTTCATTGCATTGTATTTGCTGGGTGTAGATCATGCACGTCTCTCACATTTTCCTTGGTTTGGGTAGAGATTTTATTATTTATTTTGACAACAGGGGCATGAAGTATTTATGTTTGTAAAAGCTAGCAGGGATGTGGTTTACAGCTTGTACCTATGGAAAATACAGTAAAAAGCTATAACCGTGCTTTCGTTTACTTCGGTCAGAAGTGGTTTGTGACCAGTAATACCTCCGATCAGAATTTGTGCAGCGTGTCATTGTAATCATAAAAGCTCTGTATTACAGGAATTCAAACCTTTCCGGTGCTAGGGCGGGGGTGTAGGGGACAAAACTGTTTGCTTTAAGGACTGATCGGTTTGGACGTTGTCCAGAAGTTTAAACTTTCGTTTCATCGGTGTGGGTGTGAGGGCGCATTCAAAACCACGCAGTCATGTTTCACGTGAACTTTGAAAGCGCAGAGGGGCTGTAACAGGGAGCCGGACCACACAGCCTCGGCAAGGCTTTGTTCTCCTTGCTGAATGGCAGTCGTGGGAGCGCACAGCAGCCAGGCTGCGAGGTGGTGACTGACAGCAGTATTTATTAAAATGTCATCTCCTAATACTCACGCCGGGTATCTGCTGTCGCGTAGACTGCCCCGATCTCTCACGCCAGCGGGAAAGGCCAGAGGACAACCTAACCCGCCCTGGGGAGCAG